ATCTCCTCGGTCAATCGTTTCCTCGCGCAAATTGCCCAATATCCAAGTTGATTAATAATCGCCGGCGCGCCCGTAGATACACCGCGGATAAGGAAGTGCACGCGATCGCGGAGAGAGAAAGAATTGAGCAATAATATTAATAGCCTCCCTTGGAGGTTTGCAAGTAACCCGAGCCGAGAACAATCACTCAGTCAATCGCGCTCTTTCATACGAAAACCGCGCCTCATGATGCGATATTGCACGCTGCACTTGGACCGCGCGCGCGGTCACTCGTCCTTATTCATTCCCCCCTCGAATCTCCAATTCATATCGAAGCCGCATTGAATAGGCGAGGCGCGCGTTGCCGTCCACATCCCCGCGTTCTATCCTTCTATATACTTTCCTCGCGACGCGCGTCTTTGTGCACTCGTCAATCCCAACGAAATTGTATTTCTCCGTCGAAATTATATATTGCAAATTGTTGCACCGTACAAAAGTTATTGCAAATCTCTTAATACAAGCGCGCAACTTTATCTTGCTATTTACCATCCACCAGCCTCTCTCGTTCTCTCTCTATCTCTCTCTCTTGTTCTTTCTTTCTCGCCAGTCCTTTGCAGTCTGTAACGTTTTAACGCCGCGCGCACCTCGCATTCGCTTTTCCATTCAACGCTACTTATTTCCCTCCGTCGACTTCCCCTCCTCCCTTCCACACACCGCGTCCATCTAAACTATGTGTATACATAAACTATGTCTATTCAAGCGTGCCGCGCGGTGCGCGGTCGGGGCTGCTGCTTCCCGTCTACCGTGTCAATGCGGACTAGCTGCTACGAAGTGGGACAGACCATTGGCGCGCCCCAACGAATTCCTTGGCGCGAGACGTCGCGATTCCGAATGTTTCACCGGTGGCGGCGGCAGCAGCGAGGTTAAACGACGGTTCAGTACGGCCGATGTGCCGAACACACGACCTGGAATTCCCGACGGCAATGCGCTGTGCTATACGACGAAAATGGGAATGAGCGACGATCGGCGTATTCGCCGTCGCGGACACAACGAATTTATGGCGGATGTACCTGCAAGTCGCGGACCACGGCCGGCGCCGCAAACGCCGTCGAGGAACTTGGGCGGACGTGTCATAATTTTCCGTGAATCGTCGGATTGTTGTTGGTGCGCCGACAATTACACGTCTGAGATACATATGTGTGTATTTAAATTTGCGACGACGATGGGGTATCGACCGATCCCCGCGAGATCGCGAGATTTCGGTCGCCGTCGTCGGCTCTTCGGTCGCGAAAAGCGACAGAAAATTAGGACATTAAGCGGAGAATCGTGAAGTCGTAACTCGTCCGACGGAGGAAAGGAAAAAAAGTCGAGGGGAAAGACGAAACGTCGTGAGGGGAACTTAAAGACCTTGGCACTCGGGTAAATACACGGTCGGGGCTCGCGCCAGTTACTCCCTTTGAGGTGTAATATGTATCCAGCGCACCGAATGAATTCCAGGCCGCGGTATAGTCGCTTAATCGCTCGTAATAACGCCGAGACGAATGCGGAGCTCGCCGAGACGACTGTCGCGAAAAACCTCCGTAATTTCTGGCGGTGGGTACCGTATAATCGCCTTCTCTCTCTCTCTCTCTCTCTTTCCCTCTCTGCTTCTCTGGCGCGGAAACGAGCGCGCCGCGAGTTCTCGCGCGTCTCAGATCCGACGTTTTTTCGTCATTACGCCTTGAGCGCGCGTTTCAGTCTTTTTACGAAAATCAACTTCAAATATGCGAACGAGAAAGGTATATACGAGCGTCGTTCGCGGCTACTTCTTCGCTGTGCTTCAAGTCTGTTCGTTTCAAGCGTGTCGCCTCGGAATCCTGACGATTGCAATCTCGAAATGATGCGCCTTCAACTAAGTAATTCGGCGGGGAGCCGTCTCTTGAGAAAGAGGGAGAGAGAGAGAGAGAGAGATAGAAAGAGACACCGAAAGGCAAACGCGGCTTGATGGATACGTACGAGGGTTAACGAGCGCGCAAAGCGCGCCGGGATTATCGCGCGTACCGGCTGAAACTCTCCGGACTCTGGTGAATACATACATCGAAACAAACTTGGAACGAATCGACAGACACATCGAAACTCGGCCCGGGTGTCGTCAGGGGACGACGGAGCATCGAGTCCCGATGCGCCGCCACCGCCACCGCCGCCGTTGGTTTACACTAAAATCCTTTTAACTTGGGCATCGCGTACGAGGCCGTTAACGCCCGCGAGAGCTCTCGACGACGCGATTAACCGAGAGCAGGAGGAGAGCCGACCGCGGTCTTGTCTTTCTACGAGCGCGAACGCGAACGTGCGCGCGGTATCGTCATCCTGCAAACAGCGTATATGCATTAAACCATGAACCCACTATCCCCGACGTCATATCCAATACACGTTGTTAGGGGGTTGCTGAAGCCGCGATATGGCGCGGGGGGAACGGCGGCGAGCGGCGGGGGATGGAGAACGGTGGGTAGGTGGCTGCAGGGTGGTTTCGAGGGTGGCTGCCAACCCCCTCAGTGCGGTAATGGCATTAACCGAGCTGCAATATGATTACCGCTCTCGCGCAAGGTAACCTGATCACACCCGAAATCTATGGGGGTGTCCGTAGTGCGAGGGAGAGAACTACAGAGGGAGAGAGAGAGAGAGAGAGAGAGAGAGAGAGAAAGACAGGGAGCGAGAGAGAGAGTGAGAGAGACCTTGCGAAGCGAGGGACAATGTATTGCGCTCGGAATAGCCGCGCAACGTTACGCAACTGCGGCGACCGCCGACGCCGGGGTTCGGCGGCTGCTGCTGCCGTTTCTCCCCCTTAATCGCGTTGCGCTTTTTGCGGCTCAGATTACCCGTGAATCATTAGATACTCGGGCACCGGGCGGCGGAATCGAGAGCCGCCGCCACTACTACCACCATCCGTTAGTTACGTCGGATCGTTCCTTATCTCGGCATTACGAGATTAGCCACCCGTCGTTTCTCACTCTGTCTCGCTCCCGATCTTTTTCAAACGTCCTTCTTTTGTTCGACGGAGCGTGCCTTTCTCGCTAATTGCCCGCGGACTTTGACACTGACGCGTGCGCGTCAAGAGAGACGCGGAGTTTCCGCTTCTCCGCGAGCTCACGCGAGGGAGAGAGAGGAAGAAAGATCCGAACAAGATCGATGTGCGACTCGTGAAGGTAGTACACGCAAAGAAATGACTTGGTAATATTAGCTGAATTTCAGTGGCTGATGCGAACTTAGCTAAAAGACTAATCATTTTGCTGTCATTGCTAAGAATCCGCTATCGTACACACAATATATTTACTGTGAGATACAAATTTATTAATTGAGATTAAAAGCGCACGTTTGTTCGAATAAGTAAGAAAGTGGTAGTTATTTCCAGATATTTTAGGCACATTAATCTCGAAGAAATTACCCTTATTCAATAATTACCATGACAGAATCCATACAAAATGATACAGGATTTTTCTCTTTAATTTATAACAAATTTTACCTAAATACAATATTTAAGTTCAGACACCCTGTATCATTAATACATATGCAAAACAACAAGTCTTTTCACAATTCTTTTGTTATATATATTTTTTTTCATTGTGCAAATGTACACAGAATGTTTGATACAACGCGTACCAATGCAACATATGCCAGTAGAGTCCATGAAATTGAACAAAACATAATCCCATACCATTTTTCAAATAATCACGATAATTATTCCTTTACTTTGATACACAGTAATCATATTAATCTCGTCGCTATTACGACAGACAAGACGAAAGAAGGAATCTGAACAATTCGACCGCAAGTGAAAGAGGTTGCGTGTTTGCCGTGCCTTAATCGATCGCAACACTCGATTCTTCCAAATAGGCGATAAAAGAGCAGAATAGACGAGAGCGGAAAAGCGTGCCAAAAAGATTGCTTTTCGTTTCACGCTGCTATGTTGATTTACTTGAAAGTTGTGGGGGTTTAAAGTCGTGACATCAGATGTCTCGGCTCGCGCCATTTGTATATATACGTTAACTCTTTTTTTCTTTTAAAGTGAGGTGAACGACCGCATGGTCGCAGCGACCACGTGGCACTATCTGTGAATTGTAGAGTGGGGATGGCGAGCCACGTTCGCTATCGTATACGCGAGATATCGCTTCCTAGAATAGTGTCGCGGAATGCGGCTATTGTTTTCACTCACGCGTCGCGCCATGACCTACCTTACAACGTGTTAAAGGATTAGCGCCGATCGAGAACACGGATCGATACGAACGTCAATAACTACGCTTGTTGACAGCGACTTTGAACAAAAACTATTGGAAGAGGGAAATTATCGTACTTTGGATAGAATCATTCTTCGATGCATCAAGAATCAATTAGTATATTCATGTAAATAAGAAATATGTTAATTTCTGGATTTGCATTAAAGTGGACATTACTCCATGTTAAAAATTAATGGGAAATCTTGATTTGGATTTGTAATGCGAAACGTCAATTCGATGTTTCTGACGAGTATAGAAAGTGCAATTTAAAAGAAAAATAAAATAATAATAATGGGAACTTTGTAGTGGAAAATATTTCTGTGCTATAGAGCGTCGAAGCTCAGATAATGAATATATTGGTAACAACGACATTAACTGTTTCTATTTTAATAATTTTAATAATAGTTAGCATAGTTATATTTTAGCTGCTGCGGCCAGTTCTTTTCTGCATCAATGTGACTCGAAAATAAATTTGCTCTGAGACCAAAATGAAATTACTTGATACGCGCAATTTGATATCCGCACGTTATTCGAGCCGCGGCTTCGAACCTCTTTGACGGCTTTAATCGCCACGAACGAGTGCTGTTCGTCATGGACGCTTTTTCTCCTTATTTGCAACCGAGTTACGACGCGCGAGAAAGATACATCCGCGAATGACAGCGACGAGTGATGATTCGCCCCTACAACTACGGCGACGTGGCGACACTTTTGACGCATTTCGAAGACAGTAAGCAACGTCGTCACGTGCTGTATGATGAAGAAGGTACTCACCGTGAGATGCTGGAACAGCCACGCCCTGAGGATGTTGGTCGCGACCTTGGGAAAGATTCCTCGCTTCTTTTGGTTCTTCTTGCCCGACGAATCGTCGTCCTCCTCTCCCGTGCCCTCGCCACTACCAATACTCGCGTTACTCGCGTCACCTGCAACAATAAGGAGAGAGCCAGAGGTCATCACGTGCCGTCTCGGTAAACAATGAGAGTCCATGAAACAACTCTCGACGCTTTTTCCTTCTTTCTTTTTTCGAATTGTTACCTGACTCAAGGAAATATCGCGAATATATATCAACGTCATTCTTGAGGCCTTTCTAGATCAATAATGATGTTTAGGTAATAATATTGAGGTCCTCTTACATTTATATTACTATTGAAACAAACATCAAAAAACACAAAAAACAAACAAACAACAAATGTCGATTTGCTTGATTTTCTCCTTGATTTTGAATATAAAATATGATACGAGCATGAATACACGATATAAATATGGATATGATTACAATACGATTAAATATTTGCTTGATTTTCAATACGGGAAGTTCAGTAAAATTGCGTTTCTCCTTGGTTGGCGATTATAAATCGCGAGACGCCTCTAACATCGAAGTAGGATTTCCGACGTGTTTAAACCGCGCTCCGATTTTCGGTCCATACCCTGGTGGGCGATAACTACCTCGACCCTAGGGCTGGTTCCCATGCATACAAACACCATTAAGCCACCCGCAATCACCCGGCCCCCTTCGACCCGGCGGACCCCGTGTACACTTCGTTCTCGGCTCGACCGGGTACCCCCGCCTCTTTTCACCCCACTTCGCCGTACATTAAATCCTCGTCATTTATCAATCTTAGCTTTTTAATTGCGCGGGGACTCGAGGAACGAGACAGTAATGAGAGATATCAAGACGCTTTTAGTTATGCTCTCCGGACACGTCGATGTCATTTTGTTTATATCCTTCCAATATAGTCACTTGTACACCGCATGGAAAAGGTACATAAAATCTCTAGAATAATGTATTATAAATACGGGCGAGGAGTGTTTCAATATTTTCATCGATAAAATACGTAAGAACGCGGTTACAACAGTCGCGATCGTTAGCGTGTCACCGCGATGGGCTCGGATACGCGATTACGGAATAAAATGTAATTTCGTCGGAATTCCCGCGATGTCCCGGCGAATCAATCTCCCGGACGAGCCCGGGCTCCGGAAGTTCGAGGTTCCCTTTATTCCTTCTCCTCGCAATCAGCCAGAAAGGAGAGCGGAGGGCTACTTACGCCGGCGGATTATAAATGACCGAGCCTTATCGTGGTGCCCGAGGCTCCGGTTCCCAAGGTTCTATCGTAACAGAGAGATCAGGGTGAGCCCGGCGCTCTCCCAGGGGGTTCACGATGACAGGTCGCCCGGGGGCGCCGACCCACCCCTCTTCCTCTCTCTCTCTCTCTCTCTCTCTCTCTCTCTCTC